AAAATGAAGGATAACTGCCAATGAGGTCAAACCTGCTCTTGCTAATTCCAAACGTGCTTCGGGTACTTCCATTGTTTTGATATAAAACTGGAAACTCAAATTGAATTTTGGGGCCTAAACAAGTGGGAAAGGGAAGCACAGAGTTTTATGGGATGGGCCAGCAAGTCAATCTCTTAGGGATTTTGTGCTTTGTTAAGTGTTTCTCCCTACCTAAAATCTATGGAAGTGTCATTAAGGGAATGGAGATCTCTAATGCAGCTGGCAAAATAACTGTCTGTGCTCATGTGTATCCATAGAAGGAGAGCACAGGATTCATCTTATTTAAGATTAGAATACTGTAAATAAGTAGAAGGGCAAGAACTGTAAGTAGCAAGACTAAATTAAATTTCTGAGCTGGGACTGACCATTTAAAGAGAGAAAAGTGCAGCTCAGGAACAGAGTTTCATTTCTTGATACTCATTTTGGGAGGGGACTAATTACATCATTTCATCATTAGATGGGATACTGGGAAGGAATCCTTCCCTGGGAGGGTGGGGAGGCCCTGGCACAGGTTGCCCGGAGAAGCTGGGGCTGCCCCATCCCTGGAAGTGTCCCAGGCCAGGTTGGAGCAACCATGGCAGGGGGTGGAACTGGATCACCTTTAAGGTCCCTTCCAACCCCAACCCTTCTGGGATTCCATGACCATGCATAAATTGCCTCCACTATTGATGGGAAAAGTTTAAATAGATGTTTTTCACTTGCCTCTTTTGCACCATCTTTGGAATTTTCCTTCTCTTCTTGATCTGGGGAATAATTAAGAACGAGGTAAGTCTGTGCACTTGCAGTAAAATTAAATTATATACAGAGAACCTTATCTATCTGGTTTGTGTATTTGCTGGTACTTTGTAAACTGCCAAGAGCGCTTGCAGGTGCAAAAGAGGAAAGAAGGGAGACAACCAGTGATCTGGGGTCCAGAGCAAACAGAGCAAAATACAAGTCAGGATGGTCTTAAAACAGTTTGGGGTTGGTAGGACAGGCCTAATTCAGCCCTCACACCACAGGCAGGGCTGGAAAACACGTCACTGCTGCTGCTCCTGTTTGGGAAGGGAGGGAACCAGACAGGGAACAGGCAGGTGCTTGGGGAGGAGCATGAGCTGCTGTGCAGGAAGCAGGGAAAGGACACAGTCTGCCACCTCAGCAGCAAGGACAGAGGGACAACAGCCTAAAGGACTCAGCTGAGATGACCTGAAGCACCATCTCACATCCTTTCAGCACCCAGCCCCACAAAACTGTAACCTGAATTAAACATCTTGTGCTCTGTGCAGCAGCACCTCGGGAGAACGAGGCACCACAAACGATCCCTGTGCCTCACTCCCACAGAAATGCCCAACAGCACATTGCTGAAGCCTTGTTTATGCCAGGACTGAGACCTAACTGAGGGCTGCAGGCAGGGGGCCAGGAATGGGATTAATAGCACTAAACCCCCTCCAAAGGACTGCAGTGTTCAGTTAATCACTTTTAGGAAAACATTGGAACAGGAAGACAGGCCCACCTGTTACACACCAGCCTGGAATTAAACAATAACCCCAACCTAGAGATGTTTTTTCTATTCTTTCCATCAACCCTGACAAATGAATGCTGAGTCTCTGGATTTTTAAGACTTCTTTGGACTAATTTACAGGCAAAAAGTGCTCTGGAAGTCAGTTCTTCTAAAGTGCTGTTTGAGTTTGGAGCTCAGCGACTCGATTTCCACCAAGTCCCACCTTAGGCACTTGAGTATTTCTGAAGATCTGTACCAGAGTTCCCTAAAAAATGACTCTCAAGCTGTTCAAGGATCAAATCTACCAGCAAAGGTAAGAGTTTGGGTTTGCAGATTCTGCTTTATTAGGAAGCAGCAGAGCCCAAGGTGTGCTATGTGTTATCTGCCCTCTGCTCATAGAAGTGAAAAACACTTCTCCCCACCCAAAAAAAGGGTGTATTGCCAAAGTCTGGGCTGTCATACATGGATTCCATGTCTTAAATCCTGTCTTTTCTTTCCCTGGCACTAATTATTGCAGATTAATGCAGCTGATGAATTAGCATAGCAAAACTGACAGGGTGGATGCAAGGAGAGGTGCCAAAACCAAAATCAATTGAAAACAAATTATTTTGGAAAAAAACCCAAGTAATCTACAGAATTCTACTCTATTGCACTAGGAATCAGTTTTCTACAGTTGTATTTCTCAGTCAGGCGTAGTTAAAAACCAAACAATTCATTACCATCAGCAAAATGTAATAATCTGAGACACACCTGGCTCTGACAATGGGTTCTTCATCATCATATTCCCCAGATAGTATTCCTGGATGTTTATTTTCTGCAATCAAAAGAAGGCAAAACAAGTATCAGTGACCATTTTCCCTGCTTTTTGAAGGAACTGCAGCCTTCTGGAGGAGTTGAGCAGGAACATGCCAGCGGGAAGGGAAGGGGTTGTGAGCAGCCTTACCTGCCCCGTCTCCTTCTCCTCGTGGTACTGACGGATGTGTTTGCCATGGCAGACCTCGTAAGTCCAGTAAGACTCAATCTTAAAGTTAAAACACATTTTAAAAACTATGTTTAGATATATTTACACACCACAACCCCCCCCAAGAATGTTGGCTTTTGCAGCAGGAAATGCAGCCCAAGCAGGTGTGTTTGAGTGCACTCTGAAAAACAAGAGCACAGTGAGTGCTCTCAGTGCTCCCCAAACATTTTGGTGATGTTCCAAGGAAACACACCAGGCAAAGCTTCCTTGGCTCTCACACAGATAAAACAAAGGGAAAATAAATAAATCCACATTTTTCAATTGCTACAGTAGCAACACAATTTCTCTGAATCCTGACATCTTCAATCATACAGAATTTTACCTGCAATATTGAGACATAAAGTTGCAGAGACCTTATTTCAGATTGAACTAGTACTTGATTTACTACCCTAAAACCTTGACATGGAGTGGATTATAACCTTTAAATTAGCATTTAATTACCAACACAGAAGTAACATACTCTATAGGAACAGCTGCTTTGCTTAAAGAGAGGTTCCAGCAGTTCCCCTGGAGTAGGACCTTTATAGTCCTTTTCTTCTTCCTGGAACAGAAGGATATTTTGTGACATTAAAAATGACATGATAAAGACCCATCTCCAGTTTATAACTACAAAATAACTCTGCTGCACTCACCTCGTTGCCACTGGCTATCAGTGGCAGCATACACTTGTATTTCTCTTTATCCACAGTGGTCATGATGATGTAATTGTCCTCTTTGTACAGGACACCAGTCGTGGGCTACGAAAACAACCAACCTTTGCATCAGCCAGGTGAGTTTTCTGAGCGCTACTGGTCAGAAACACCCCTGAATCACTGAGTGGTGCTGCTAATTCACAGGACGCGCTCCAGAGTATTTCCTGGGCATTAATTATAGCACAAGACGGGCGTTTGGTGGTTAAACTGGCTGCTTGCTGCCCAGTTTGCTTTGGTCCTTCACCTCCACCCACATTCTCCCTGTCCCCTAGATCCCGTTCTCCTCCACATCCCTCTTACTCCCACTTCCCTATTTCCCTGTACGGTTCTTATAAAGACCTTCATTATACCCCCCCCAGCCCCAACCATCCCCTTTACCCCCTGCCCTCCCCACACTGTCAGGACCCAGTCCCCCTGGATTCCCCCAGCCCTCCCCGTGCCGGCTGTCAGGGATCGGCCGGGATCCCGCAGGCTGGGGCGGTGTCCCCCGCCGTCCCCGCTGTGTGGTGGGGCCCCGTTCCCCCCGTGCCGCGCGGGCCCCTCACCAGGCTGAGCTCGGTGCCGGGCCAGTTCACCCTGAACGGGATGTCGTCGCTGAGCTGCGGGAGCGCTCGGCCGCCCTCGGCCACGGCCGCCACGGCCGCCAGGAGCCCGCAGAGCAGCGCGGGGGCCGGGCCCGGGCCCGGGCAGTGCGGCCCGCAGCCCCTCGGAGGGCCGGGGCAGGGCGGCCCGCAGCCCCTCATGCCGGCCGGCGGCTCCGCGGAGGCCGCGCTGCGCCGCAGCCACGTCGGCTTCCGGCAGCGCCCATCAACAACCGGGGCAGCGCCCGCCGCCCGCACCGCATCCGGGGCCGCCCGCGCCGCCAGGTGAGCTCCGCGGGCACGGCCCACCGCGGGGATACGGCCCACGGCGGGGACACGGGCACGGCCCACCGCGGGGACACGGGCACGGCACACCGCGGGGACACGGGCACGGCACACCGCGGGGACACGGCCCACGGCGGGGTCACGGGCATGGCCCACCGCGGGGACACGGGCACGGCACACCGCGGGGACACGGGCACGGCACACCGCGGGGACACGGGCACGGGAATGGAGCGGGCCAGGCAGCAGTGAGTGAGGGGGGCAGCGAACCGTGAGGGACGGAGAGAGTTAAGGCGGAGAGTGAGGGAGGGAGGAATGAGGGAGGGAGGGAGTGAGGGGCTGAGCGATGCGGGGAGAACGGGATGCGTGTAATTCGGTCATTAGTGTGCGCACTAAGGGTTAAACACGACCAACAGCTACGAGATGATGAGTGTAAGGCAGCCCTCGAAGGGCTCCCTGTGTGCCTCTATAAGCACCTGTGTGTGTATATATATGTGTGTGTGTATATATACACGCCTGTATATATATGTATGTGTATATATACACCTGTATGTATGCATATATATGTATATACACCTGTACGTACATGTATATATTATACCTGTATGTATATACGTGTGTGTGTATACATATACACACCTGGATATACCTGAGGGGTCCAGTGCTCTCCACATGGGAGCAGGGTAAGCGAGTCCCACACAGCAAGAACAAGTTTATATATTTGTTATTCTTCTTCCCGTGCTTTAATTAATTCCTAACGTGATGCACTTTATAGGAGCTCTTGTGTTTTGTTTTTCATTGTCACCCCCAACAGCATTTGGGTGCAATTAAGACACACCTTGACGTCCATCCTCCTGTGGACACACTTGAAAAGTAACATTTTTGGAAACTTCCAAGCCCGTTAGTCAATGCGATGCATTTTTATTGCACATTTTTACTGAAGTTGTACACACACACACTGGAATGTGTATTATTGCAGTGTTTTATGGATTTGGGAAGAAAATGAACCAACGAGGCCTTGAAGACAATAAAAGATAGAAAATGGGGAGCTACACAGAATCACAGTGCTTAAATAATGAGAGTTTTAAAGAGAGAACCATCCTTGAGGGTTTGGGATCATTAGTGAGCACAGGCACTCCCTGCCCTGTTTTAAGGAACAAGGCTCAGTCCTCGAGGAAAGAATTTTTACATTTAAGAAGAATTTTTAAAAGAGCAGAGAGTGTTCATGCCACTGCACGTAGTTTTACTTTCACAAATCTAAACCAGGAGGATGCAGAGAAGAGAAAGGCATGACCTTTTTAGGAGAAAGAGACATTTTTTTGCAATTACTGGTGCAGAATCCAGGCCTCCAGGCAGCTACTAAACACCTTCCCTGGCTGAGAAAACAGGGTGTTACGTGGTGCTTGAAACAGGACCATTTACATTAAGATATAAAAATATACTTTGTTAAAAATTAATAAAAATAAATTTCTGAGAGCAAGACAAATCCGTGTTGGGACGGAAATTCCGTGTGCTGATGGATTGAGTCAGGAAGCCTACTGGCCTAAACTGGGGGGCTTCCCAACCCTCTTGGGATGTCACTGAAAAGAGGGTTCCTTCCTTCATTACCTTTTGTCCGTGAGTCCCTGAAAACAGGCTTGAAATCTGTCCTTGGAGCTTGGGGGGATTTTTTAAGAGAAGGGGTCACAACAGCATTTAAAAGTAACAGACATGAGAGTTTCTGTTCTTGCTGGGTTGTGACTTCAAGTCATGTTCTTGGTTACTTTTACCATTTGGGCTTTATTCTTTATATTAGGTTTAAAAAGTAAATTGAGGCACTGAGAGGTTATGGCTTGTTTGAGTCCAAAGTCAGGACCTGACAATAAAAGGAACTATTTCCTTGACAATAAAAAGGTTTATCCTCTGCTTTTAAGGATTAATTAATATATAAAGGGTAAGATGACTAATTCAGTGGAATAACTTCATTTCAGAGCAGCTGAACATTGATATAAATGTTCCACTATGCAAAATTTCTCTCTGTAGTAGCACTGTGGTCTTGAATCCCAAGAAACCACCACTTAGATTTATGGGACTTGTCTCTGAATGCTGATTTTAAAAATATGCTATTTAGAATATGCTATTTAGAACATACTATTTAAAAATAATCTAAAGTTTTTATGCAAACCTGAAATAATAATTAAAAAAAAAATATCTTTAAACACAGAGAAGCTTAATGAGATTTCCATGCAGGTGTAGTCTTTGGATGAAAGGCTAAGCAACCAAATTCACACCTAAAACATTTTCCCTGCTGAAATGAACGATTTTGGTAATTTTAATGACTGACTCCTATTCTGAACGCAGCATTAATTGAGATATGCAGCACTAACTAAGGTAGCACAGCACAGAGAAACACTCCTCCCAGTCAGAGAGCCGCAAAACTCCCCCGGAGACAGAACCAGGTCGTTCGAGAGCAGGACGTCACTTTATAGACAATTCAGAGGTTGGTGCTTTTTCAAGAGCTCCTTGACCAGCGTCTCCAGGGAGAAGAGGTGCTCGTCCACGTCCTCGGGGACGAGGCTGCGGATGGAGTTGGCGAGCTCGAAGAGGTACTCGGTGTTGCGGCCGCTGGGCCCGGCGGCGCCCAGGATCTGCCGCGCGATGTCCTCCAGCGGCGCGGGGCCCAGGTAGTTGGGGTTGTCGCGGGTGCCGATGTAGAGCAGCACGTCGAAGGGCTGCACCGACGAGTCCTTGGGGTAGAAGACGACGCTCGTGGTCCTGTAGCCCCCCTTCTCCCTGAAGTCCAGGTGCGCCATCACCTCGCCCTCCTGCCCCGCCGGCAGCCGGTAGGCCACGCCCCACACGCAGCCCTGGCCGAACGAGACCCAAACGGTACTCAGCGTTTAGGAAAAACTCTCTTAAACCAACTCACGTTCTGCCCTTTTGCAACCTAAACCTCCCCTGGCACAGCTGAAGACAGAGCCCTCTTGTCCTACTGCTGGTGGCCCGGCTCCCCCCTCCTGTCAGGGAGCTGTAGAGGGTGATGCTCGTTGTTCTTCTCTGCCCCTGCTCCAGCCCCTCCATGTCCTTCCTGAGCTGAGGGCCCAGAGCTGGACACAGCACTCCAGGGGTGGCCTCCCCAGCGCTGAGTGGAGGGACAGAATCACCACCCTGCCCCTGCTGCCACTCTGTTCCCGAGCCAGGCCAGTTATCAGGGATCTTGCTAATGCTGAGGTTATCCTGACAAAGCAGTTCTTTGGATATGTAACATCTGGAGCAGTAAACGGCCTTGGTACCGCCCACCAAGGAGCTGGCAGAGAGGACACGAAGTATCTCCCCCAGCCCACAACATTTGTAACTGAAAATTACAGATGCAAATAGTGCTGAATTCAAAGGAGTTTTGATCAGGTCCTTTCTGTGTTTAGTTACAGTTTCATTGCCACCTACACCTGTTAAATGTCTGCATTGCTGTGGGCTGCCCAGGTACCTTCAAAACCAGGCTACGCCTTCTTCAACTGCAGGAGGTGAAGCTGAAATTAAAGCAGACTTGTCACATCACTTGATGTTTACATCAAATGATGTATGTTTGATGTGTGTTTATATCAAATTCTGCATCTTACAGCTGGGTGGCCAAAGTGACTATTCCAGAAAATACTTTAAAATGCCCCTTTGGTAATAACAGACCCAAACTACTGCCAAGTTCTGGGATTAGGCTGATTGTTTGAAACAATCAAGAGCCTTTGGTGTAACTCCAAGAAACACTAAGAGAACCTTCCCCTAAAGATAATACAATTATTGGCTTATAAAGAAGCAAAAATTAAGAGAGATTGGGAATACAACAGGACATTCTGGACACAGAGACAGACAGGAGTTCTGTACCTCAGCATCTTCAACCAGAGTCACAACTCTTCCAGGCTAAAAGGTAAAAGAAGAAATCGTAACTCAGTTAGAGGCTTTTACCCTAAATCATGAGTAAAACCAGAACAAGTGAGAAAAAATCAATGAAGAAGAATGAAAGGCTCAGAGAACTAATCCCAGAACAATCCCAATAAGGTCTAAATCCAGGATAAATATTTTCTGAGAATAGCTTTTGATCTGTGTTAGACTAACTTTGATAAAAGAAATGCTAAATTCTGAGTGGACAGTGTCTGCGACACAGAAATTAAATGAAGGGCAGTCAGAAATGGAGAGGGTTTGAACGTCTTTGCTTTATATGAGCTGTCCAGACTGAATTCTATTCCAGTTTAAAACCGTGATTATTTATTAACAATACAGTAACAGTGATAATTAACAGTTTCATTAATGTAAAACTATCCTCAAGGAGCCCTTGGGGCCTCACTGGACAGAGGGAGGATACCTTGCAAATGGCTTATTCTCGTAGGAAGAGTAAGAAGCCAGTGTGTAAATACTGGAAATACAATAGTTGAAATTCCTTTTAGAAAATTTTAAAACATAAAGCCCCCTGCTGAACTATGTCTGCAGTTTAAAATTGCTAATTTTGGCATCAAAATAGTTCTCTCCCAGCCCTCTATTCCTGAACTGACTGATAAAATAAGGCAACAAAACTACATGAACACTAAATGATTCCTATGTCCTGAAGAGAAATAGGTCTGTTCCCATGATTCAAAGAAGATAACTTAGGTGTTCCCTTTGGAAAGTTTTTTCCTTGGCTATTAATACTTCCATAACTTGTGCACTTGATACTGGTCATGAAGATTTTTGTAAATTATGGATTGAAGAGACATTCTGGGGTGGAAAACAACTTTCTCGCTACATAACTGCAGCCTAACTGCATTAAGCTGCATCAAAATTAATTTGATTTAAATATGAAGGGAGGTACTGAGAGGTGCTTCGTGTTCAGGTGGGTTGTGTGGTGGGAGAAGGATCTGTTTGCCCAGGGAAGGGCAGGGTATTTAGTGTACTGGTTTGCAGAGTCCTTGGCTTGCCTGGAACTACCCAAAACAAACAGTAAGGAACAAATAACGAAATTCATATTGATAGAGGAATTAATTACTGTTTGTACTACTGGGAATAATTCTCTGGCAATCTTTTTTTAAATACCACTAAGGTGTAAGTTGCTGTATAATTTAAAGAACTGTTTTTTCCTCGCTTTATCACTGTTTTTAACATATATCAGGACCGAAGGAGCAGTGGTGGCTCAAGACGTGTTATCTTTAAGCTCTGTGCAAGTTACTTATCATGTTACTTACACCTAGATGAAACCATGCCCTACACAGCAAGCTGTTAGTTTAAAATAATCCTTAAGCTTTTTTTTTTCTGCAGGAGGAGCTCTTTTAAAACCTTATTCCAGGTTTACAGTGGAGTTACAGGGTGCAGGTTACACTTTATCCTCACTCCCATACGTCTGCATGACATTGGGAATGCTCCCTTGGGGATTTTGGTTTCTTTTTCTGGCTGTTTGTTTGTTTGGTTTTTTTTCTTTAAATTTTATTTTCCCCTTTTCCAGTCAGGTCTTAAATATTTCCTCATGCATGAATTTTGATTTGAGAGCAGAAAAAGCTGAAATACAAGCGCGGAGGTTACTGCCCTTTCCCCTTCCCTGTGCACCCGCCCCGAGGGGTTCGCCCTCACCGAGGGGTTTGCCCTCAGGTATCTGACAACCTGCAGAACAGATCTGCCCATTCCGAGCCCCTCTCTGCGGTCCCTTACTCTGCTCGCCGTGTGTTTTGCAGTCGTGGCTGGTGCCCGTCGGGCGGGGCCTGTGCCCGGCCCGGCGCTCAGGGCCGCGCTGCCCCCGGCCCGGCGCGGCTCACCTTGCCCGGCACGCCGCGGTGGTCGGTGCTGCCCTGCCAGAAGCGGCGGCTGTAGCCCCGGACGCGCCCCACCAGCTTCTCCTGGTAGGGGAAATCCACCTTCCAGATGAGGGAGCCGTAGCCGAACACCCACATGGCGGCCGGCCCGGCGGGGCCTGCGCGCAGCCGCGGGGCGGCTCCGGGCGGGGGCAGCGGCTCCGCCGGGCGCCCTCACGGCCGCGCCGGGACCGGGACACACCGGGGCTGGTGCGGGCCCTGAGAACGGGGAGACACTTATCCCCCTAAAAACCTCCCCCCAGATAACCTCCTCTGCCCCACAACCACCCAAACCCCGCAACCACCCCCTCCCAAACCCCAAACCACCCCCGGACAACCCCCTCAAACCCCCCAACCAACCATCTCCCAACCGCGCTCCCTCCCAGCCCCACAAACGACCTCCTCCCCCCAAATCCCACAACCACCTCCCGACCCCACCACCAACCACCTTCCTACAAACCCCACAAACCAAACCAAATCCTCTGCGAGACCTTACGTGGGTCGTACCAACACGCATCTCTTTTTTTTCCCCCCTTCTCTCTTTCTCCTGCAGAGTTTGATCCCAAGGATGGATTTCACGGAGGCCTATTCCGACCGGTGCTCGGCCGTGGGCCTTGCAGCCAGGGAAGGGAAGGTTGAAATCCTGAGGAAATTAATTGATCAGGGATACAGCATCGATGTCCCGGATAACAGGAGGTGGGTGCCCATCCACGAAGCGGCAGCACACAATTCCAGTGAGTGCCTGAGGCTGCTCATTCGTGCAGGTAAAGAGAACATGATGAATAGTCTGGTTTTCTGCTCAATTACCCTGTCGTAGAAAATAGAAGTTATGTAGATTTATCGTATTCTTACTTGTTTTGGGAGTTTCTGGGTGGTTTCACAGCTGTGGTAAAGAGAAATTGGCACGTTGTGGTTCACCAGTGACATTGGGTAGAGGCACATTTATAGGCCGCACATCTCGAATAACTCCCTTGTTTTCTCAAAATGACTGTATTTTGTACTTCACTGCTAAATATCCCATTTCCCCCCTCCTCATCCCTCTCTGTAGCCCCATCTGCTGACTACATCCACTCGAGGACGTTCGAAGGGCTGTGTGCTCTGCACCTCTCGGCACGCCACGGGGCCTTGGACTGTCTCCGTGTCCTCCTGGAGGCTGGGGCTGACCTCAACGATGTCACCACCGATGCCACCACCCCACTCTTCCTAGGTCAGCTTTCCTGAAATCCCAAAACAACCACACTGAAATCAGGTTGTTGTTCCATGTCCCATGTATTTGTAACTTAAATGCCAGCTTTTAGACTCAGAGATGGAGTGGCTCTGGAAATCCCCTTTTATATTTATAAATAAATCTGTTTCAAGCAGGGTTTTAACACAAAACTGTCAAACCAAATTGGTTTGCTGCATCACCTTTTCTTTGTTCCTAGCACAGGAGAGCTCTAGGAGGTCACAGGATTACATATGGATGAGGCTGTTTCAAGTCTGTTTCTTTGGTTTTTTTAATTCCTCCCTGCTTCTTACGTGAAAAGACTAATTTTTGACATTCCTGGTTTAGTAATTAAGGTCCATCATTTTCGCATTTCTTCTATGATTCATGTTTGACATAATTAAATGCTTTAAACAGTGACTCCTCAGGGTCTAACTCCTCTGATGAAGTGTGTTTATTGTTACCTCCATACCCAGGCAAATATCACAGGTCCTGTGTTACTTTTGTTTCCAAGTCTATTCCAAGACTGAGGGAATTTGGACATCCATGCAGTTCATCCTCTACTGTGGAACTGTCTCTATGTTCCATGGGAAAGAGGAGGAGAGAAACTTGCTTTTGTTACACTGTCTTAACACAGTGGAGGTGAAATTCTAACAAGTTTAACTGAAAACTTGGTGGATAATTTCCATTCTCCAACACGGTTTTGGGGTGTAAGCACAGAAGGCAGTAAGCAGATACAAGATGAGTTTAAAAGAATTCTGATTATGGTGTCAGGAAGTTGGCAGTGAGACCTTTTGAGTTTTTCAGTGAGTTCTTAAATTCAGATATTTAAATTCTATTCTTTTGAAAGTTCTTTAATAATAATTATTTTACCTTTTTTTTTTGTTACTGTTCTATTGAAGCTGTTGAAAATAAACACACAGAGGTCGTAAAGTTTCTGCTTCAACATGGGGCAAATATTGAAGGTCCTCATTGTTGGTCCGGGTGGAATTCTTTGCACCAAGCTTCTTTTCAGGTAACCTTTAAGCACATCCTATAATTTCCATGTAACTGGTGTGTTCTGAGTGATAATTTATTTATTTAATTGCATTTTTAAAGGATAAATTTTCCTAACCAGCCTAAGCAGTCATAAGGTTGTACTTACAAATATGTTGGCTTAATGGTGCTAATAAACTCATTTAATTACTGTTTATATGTTTCAAAAACATCAGCAAATGTAATGAATTAATTGAAACTTGTCTAATTTATTTTACCATTAACTATTCAATGCATCTTTAGAATATTGATATATTGTGTCATATTTCACTTTGGAATGTAGAGGGGGAAATAGAATATGTAATTTCCTTGCTTTTCTGTTGGTTAAGGGTAAAAACACTTATTTCAGGGTTCCACTGAGATAATGGAAATCCTCCTGGAGAAAGGGGCAAGCAAGAACTGTAGGGATGACTTTGGAATTACTCCCCTGTTTGTTGCTGCTCAGTATGGCCAGCTGGAGAGTTTACGGCTGCTGGTGTCCCATGGTAATAATGAACCGTCACTTCCCTTTTTAAACCTTCATCAGCTGTCTCTAAATACAGTTGAAGTTCTGCTCTTGCACATAATCTCGAATTTTAGGTTAGGGTGTTTTTTTCCTTGTTGCTGTGGAAAACTTGTTGAGTTTGGAGTCAGGGAGAAATAATTACCGGTGAACATGAATTTGGTTCTGTTTTGTGTCAGGTGCAGACCTCAACTGCCAGGCCAAGGACAGAGCCACCCCCCTGCTGATTGCTGCACAGGAGGGACACTTGGAATGTGTGAAGCTGCTGTTGGCAGCAGGGGCAGATCCAAACCTCTACTGCAACGAGGACAAGTGGCAGTTACCAATTCACGCCGCGGCTGAAATGGGCCATGTCAAGTAGGTGGTGGAAAAGGTGTCCAGGAGTTTCTGGTGACACAATTCTGTCATTAATGTGATGTAGCCTGGAGCTGTGAGCTATGAACAGGAGGATTTTTCTGTTCCACTAAATATTAATTTTATTTGCGACTGACATTTCCAGTTTGCTTCCAGACTTCAGAGGAGTCTGGATTTGATGTGCAGTGGTACTCTGCTGCTGTAAAAAGGATTGGGGGATAACAGGAAATAGCTGTCTTTGGTTTGGATTAAAATATTTTATTTCCAGCCTAAATCCACGCCAAAGCACAGTGTTTGCTAAGGACCTATGTCTGGAGTTATAAAGGTTATTCTGTGCAAACTCTGGAGTGAAAAGCCAGGATTTTCTTCCAAACTGTGTGAAAAATGACTGTGTATTTAAAATGAATCATGGCCTGAGATCACAAAGCAGTGGTTTGCAATATTTGCAGGATCCTGGAGCTGCTGATCCCAGTTACTGACCGGATCTGTGACAAGGGCAAGGGCAAACTGAGCCCTGTGTATTCCGCGATATACGGAGGGGATGAGGCGTGTCTGGAGCTGCTGCTGAAGCAGGGCTTCAGCCCAAATGCTCAGGAGTGCCTTGACTTCGACTGCAGATCCCCCATGTGCATGATCTTCCAAAAAGAGTAAGGAAACCTCTTCTGGTTAGAAACTATTTGTAATTATACCGGCTTTTATTTAACTTATTTTAAGCCTGCAGTTTCCCGCCTTCCTCCCTCAGTTGCTGTCTGTCATTTAATATTTTTCCAGAGTTCTGTTTAGTTCCCCCTTTGCAGACACTCCTCCTTGGGAATATTAATGCCAAGTCCTGCTGTGTGGCTCGTGTGCTGCATTAAGGAAAACATCTTCAATAAAGGCTTTTAAATCTGTCTGAAACCCAGATTGTAACAGATTGTTTCATGTATATGGATCAAAATTGATGGCTCAGGTGCTGCCTTTAAGTTCATGAGGTTTGTTAGCAGGGAGTTTAGTTCATGGCGTGCTCCTAGGAAGTTGTCTTTAAAAATCCTTGGACATTGTTTGTTCCCCTTCTGTCCTGGTATCGCTTAATAATACATAGTTTAGGAAGGGATCCAGAGCAGGTAATTACTGAAATGTCCAGTAAATGAGGCAGGTAACATATATCACCACTCTCCTGAAGAAATGTGCCCTCTAATCATTAACTAAACTGAAAAGCAGCACACTAATTATCAGTCATAATCCCAGTCGTTATCACAGTACCTTGTTGTAATGGATAACATGATTTTAGTGAAATGGATTTACTTTTAAAACCAGAGCTCCCTGCAAGTACAGCTGGATGCAGAAAGCGGGAGATGCTTTCTGAGGGGAAAACTAACAGGCTGCCCTGTTCCTCCTGCTGTTCCCAGGTATTTTCACTTCACGGATGTTCTGCTGAAGTACGGGATCACCCTCCGTGCCGTTAACTTGGGACACTGCCTGTACCATAAGCAGTTCGCTTTGTTTCGGCGCTTCCTGAGGCTGGGCTGTTCCCTGCCCTCGGGGGAGCACTTGTCGGATTTCTTGCAGTACAGCAGCAGGGCGCAGAAGGAGTACAAGCAGTGGCTGCCCTCCCTGCTGCTGGCCGGCTTTAACCCCGCGAATCTCATGTATGACCCCTGGTGAGCAGAGCCCCTCGCCCCCATTACTGGGGTACCACGCTGGGGGGCAAAGCGGGCTGGGGACCTGGCCCTTCCCGGGATGCTCCTTGGTAATCAGCCTCCACCATCAGGAACGGGAGGGGTTGTGGAAAGGCTGAAATAAATCATTCACACGGCATGTCTGGAGGCAGGAAAGCAATTTGGTGTAGGAAGAAAGCCAGACTGGGGGTTGCTCTATCGCTACCCCGGAGAAAGGCGTCACTGCCCAACTCTTATATAGAACATCTCTTAATAGCGCCCAAATTTAGCTCAGATTCTGTAAGTGTGTGTGATACTATAATACAGCAACGGTAAGAAGAATTTCAAATGGGAGAAATAGGTCAGGAGGGATGGGAAGCAAATGGGAAGTGAAGCCGGGCCAGGGCTGGGAGGAGAGGAAACGGATGCAGTCCAAGATTGTTAAACAAAACAATGTGGCAAAAGTTCCAGTCTGGGCTTTGGTTGTTGTTTTCTTTTTTTTTTTAAATTTAAGTTTTTCCACATACAAATAACAGCTTGGTGATGTTTTATAGTTAATTGGGCGCTACAGAATTCAACCGTTGTTTAAAGTTCTGAAATATTGGTGTTTTCTGCTGGCTGTAGTAAACACTCTACAAGGTTGCAACTCAGTGACTGAACAAATCTCACTCTCCTTGCGTCTCACACATAGTGCTTTTTGATATTTTATTCCCTAACCCACAAATACTTTTTATCCCAATTACTTCCTTTGTCTAAACACCCACTTTTTAATATAACACTTATCACACTGTAATCTAGAAAAATAGCTTACTTTTGGAAAGAAAACGGAGGGAGATAAAATTACTTTAGTAAAGGCCTGTGCTGTAGAATTACCTGGGGTTTCTCTGTAGTGACCTCCTGTTTCTAGGCTTAGGATGAAGGTTATTAAGGATTTGCCAGAAAAGCTTTCTCTGAGTTGTTCTCATTATCCTGTTTATGCCGTTGTGTAAGATGGTATTTTAGGGGAGTTTTTGTTACGCAGGATTTTCTCTGCGAGCGAGGACGTCCTTAACTTCATCCTGGAGTTCACGAACTGGAGTAGACTTCCTCCAGATGTGGAGCAACACCTTTCCCAGTACAAGGAGAAATTCACCTGGACTCCCAAGAGCCACTTTGGTAAGCAGAAGAGGCAGGATAAAAGAGTCTGTGAGTATGCCAGCTTCCAGGCTGGAAGTGGGAATGTTTGAGGGAACATTGTCAGCGTGACTTGCTTACATTTTATTTTTTTAATTTGATTTGTATTTCCTGTGGAGTGTCTGTCCTGTTCTGTCCAAAGCTTTGGACAGTAATTAAAATACAAACCGTAAAAAAATCAAATCTACTCAAAAATGTGGCCAGACAAAATATTCCATTGGTTGTCCAGGAATTTTTGACAGTTCACCCTTCAGAAAAACAGCTTTAACACACAAGTGTGACTGAAAAATTGTGCTCAGGTGTCTGTTAGTGACTCTTTCCAAAGCAAATTCTTCTTCAGAAGGTCTGTAATAGTTTTTGAAACATGTAGGTGATAATGCTATTTAATAATGCTTCCTTTGGAATGTTTGAAGCCAGTAAGGATGTTTTTGGAGCTAAAAACAAACGGTTTATTTGGGGAAATTGAGGTGAAGTTCCCTCTTTGTTTCCTTTGGTGCTAGTAAATGTATCTGTGTTGTAAGAGCATCCAGTAACTACAGCTGAAGAGCGAAGGGAGGTTGGGGAAGGGTTCAAGGACTGGCAAATCCCTTCACTGCAGAGAGCTCCGCTCGTTCCCTACCAGAGCCTGGGGTGGGATCCAGGGAACCGCAGGCAGTCCCCCGGTGCCCCGACTGACTTGGGGTTTCCTTTCCCAGCCTTCATTCCGCCCCTGTCTCACCTGTGCCGGCTGGAGATCCGGGCCTTGCTGGGCAGCGAGCGGCTGCGGTCGGAGCGCGCCATCCAGGCACTGCCGCTGCCGCTGTGCCTGCAGGAGTACCTGCTCTACCTGGATGTGCTGCGGGTCAGCGCTGTCCCACACCTGCAGGATTCCCCGGAGCAGGGAGAGCAGGGAGCAGGGAGCGCCTGCCACCGCTCACTGCGTGCCTGAGGATGCGGGGAGGAGGGACGCCGGTGACACCAGTGCCTGAGCAACGCAGGTTTTGTAGCGGCAGTGAGGAGACACAACTGTAAATACCTGCTGTAAGAATTCCTTTCAAGCTGTAGTTTTATACTACATCTATAATTTTGCTACGAGTTCTATGATTTATTGTTTAAAAAGCCCGTTGTAACTTTCTAAGTGAACATTTTCTGTTGTTTTTGGGTTTTGTTTGTTTGTTTGTTTGTTTTGGTTTGTTTTGGTTTATGTTTGGGTTTGGTTTTGTTTTTTTTTCCTCCCCAAACTCCTAGGGGGTAAAATGAGCTTGTTCAATGAACACAGCTTACAGAGTGGTCAAAATCTGTCAGCTGGTGCTTTATTTCAAGTACAGCATTTACCAAATGGCACAATATGAAAGTCAGGGAACACAGTATTGCATTATTGTTGCCAATTTATGTGTTGGGGAGGAATGTAGCTGAACCAGAGAAAGGCAAATAACATAAAAAAAGAAAATTGTTTGCTGAAGGAACAGTGGTTTTCTTTTTTTTCCCTTCCCTTGGTCATCAGTATTTGGTGGAATGTCGGAGCTGGAGGCTTGGAGCCTGCGCCCAGTCCCTCCCCTTGCTCAGCCCGGGACAAGGCAGGGAATGTCCCCACAAGCACCACCGTGTGCCAACAGAAATCCCTCCTCTGGTGAAGTGAAAAAGGCCCCTCCGTCCCCATGGCCGGGCAGGGACACCTCGGGGAGCACAGCGGGATCCCTCGCTGGGAAAGCCCTCGTGCTGCGGAGGGGAAGCTGCTGGGAGCACCGGGATCACTGGTAGTAGATGCTGAAGGCGTGCAGGATGTACAGGAAGGCCGTGAGGAAGGCGAAGAACTGCACAGGAGGAAGAAGAGCACAAACTGGGGTCAGCTGGCAGCCCAACCCCACCTTCTCCCAGCCTCCCTCCGCCCTCAAGATGGGGAAGCCTCCCAGCCTAGGGCTCTCCCCAGCCTCAGAGAAGAGGCAGAGTTCCCTGCTTTTCCCAGGACCCAGCCACGCAAGGTGGCCCCTGGGAGCTCGTGCTGGCTGCACAGCCCAGCAGAGGTGAGGAGCTGAAGCTCTGCCTGGTGAGGCACCGCTGGGCCCGGGGTGGCTCTGCCCCAGCTGTAATGTTTGCTGCTGCCTCTCGCAGGGGCAGCTGTGTTTCTCCGGCCCGCCCGGGGTGCTGGGTCCCGCTCACCGAGGCAGCGCTGTTGAGCTGGTAGTAGAGCGGCGCGTTGGGGCCCGTCTCAGAGTTGATGGTGGCGTTGGCCTGCAGGACAGCGGCGCTCATGTACAGGATGGCCGTGGCACCGTGGTACAAGCTGTCCTGCAAAGCAAGGCTCGGGTGAGCGCTCCGGAGGGACGCACGGCTGGGCAGGGCTGGGATGAGCCCTTCCTGCCCACAGCTGCCGCCGTCCCGGCCCCTCCTTACCAGCACTTTCCAGTTCTCGCTGTTCCTGTGGAAGCCCAGGAGGTAGCTGAGGAGGAGCAGCAGGGAGATGAGGCAGGAGGTGAGGGACACGTACATCACCCATCCCTGCACCAGCGGCAGGGACACGGAGGTAGCAGCGACGAGGATCCACACCCAGGTCCCGCAGACCTGCCGGGGACAAACAGGCGCCTCGGGTGAGCACGGGATGAGGAAAACTCCTTCTCTCCAAGTCCCTCCTGGGCTGGCCCCAGCAGCCAGCGGAAGCCCTGCATCCTTCCCGGAGCATCCCGGCACGACAGCGGCACCAGTTTCCTTGAACACTCATGGGAAGTGAGTGTTCCTACGAAAGGGAGAGGATTGCTGCCGCCTTCCACACAAGGAAATGTCTCACCCCGAGGCGTTTGGTGCAGAAGCAGAAAATGGGCTTTTATCTGGGAGAGGCGAACGGCCACAGCATCGCCCGGCCCTGCCCCACTCGTTAATTTCTAGGGCTTGAAATCTGGCACGAGGAAGTCTCCTCACAGCTCCCCCGCACCAGCCCAGAGCCAGTCGCTGGCTCTGGATCCACCCAGAAGATTTACTGTGCTCAAACAGCCCTGGGGTTGTCGGGATGAGCCCGTGCTGCCCTGTGCCATCCCAGCTCCGGAGGATGAACCCTGGAATTGCTGCCGGGAGCCGAGCCCACCGGCACAGCAGGGACTGTCCCTGTGGAGCAGCAGGGTGTGGGTTGCCAGCCCAGTGTCAAAGTACACCAGTTATTATCGCAGCCATTCCCATTGGATGCCCTCTGGACCCATGAGCAATTGAAAAATCATGGAATATCACACATCAGAAGACTCCCAATTGCCTTCAACCCCTGGGAAGACTCCATACAGGACAGACACAGACAGACTTGATACAGAGAGTAAAATTCCCTTGATTTTCAAGAAATTTCTATGTGCTAGCAAGAGCTGCTTCTGCCCTGAGGAGCCAGCAGCCCTTCAGCCTCTCCCAGCCCTATGGCAGCCGGCGACCCCGGGATGGAACTGGAGTGTACCTTGTCCTCAAGCTGTTCCAAAACGCCCCATCACAAAGACCACCTTTGTGCATCCCGCACAGGCTCAAAGACAAGACGTTACTTCCCACGCCCGCTGTCTCCAGGATCGTTTGGGGGCTGCTCCCAGGATTTTAGCCATGGGCCAGGTGCCATAACACAGCGGAGTTTGGGATACTCACGATCTCGGGCAGGATGAAGGCGTAGGGGATGGTGGTGAAGACGGCAGGTCCGGAGGGCAGGGCAGGTTGTGTGGAGGCCGTGGAGGGACCCACCGAGGCCATGTCTCCTCAGCTGACACCGGGATCACTGGGCTCACACTCGCCTGCACCGGCTTTTAACGGACACACCCGCGGGACGTAATCACAGGAACCAGCCCAGGCTGGCACTGCGCCGGACCGGGAGCCCTCGGCACCCACCACTGCTGCGGCTCCGCACGCCCCTCTCCCAGGGCTGGCAGAGCAGTGGGACCCCGGCCCAGCCACACCGTCAGCTCAAGGTCATTACCCAGAGGGGAGAGGAAAAAACTTCCTACACACCGGGGCAGAAATGTTTCCTGCAAACAGTTGCTGTCCTTGGCACGCTTCCAAGCCCGAAATATTTTCCCTTCCACTGTTGTTGCCTCCTCCCCTTTCTGTTCAGGTTTCTGCTCCGTGTTCACGTCAGACCCCTCCACACCCTTCGGGCACATCCAGCCTTCCAAAACTGGCTGGCAGATGATTTTGACAGACAGCGCTCTGGAACAAGCTGTAAGGGTTTGCCCCTGCGCTCCCAAGTGCCCTGAAAGGTTTGAGAGAGTTGCTGGGATTTCTGTGTCCTGACAGATGCACTTTGGATTCGGGGAGCGCTTGCTGCTTCATCCAGCAGACTCCACCTCGCCCCAGAACTCCCCAGTAGCTGATGGGATGAAAGGCTGAAGGTGACCAGAGGGGACAGAATGACCTGACTAAGTGGGGCAGTGTGCTCCAGCAGGAGGACACTGTCACAGTAAGATATCCCATGTTAGGATATCTTGTGTTAGGAGATAGGTGTGTTAGGAGAACCCTGTGTGTTAGGAGAGCCAGGTGATGCCCCAGGAACTTGGCTTCCCTGCCAAGCCTTGCGTGACACAGACCAAAGATCAAATCCATGTTCCTTGTCTGAGCCCTTCCTAGGCTGGGGGAAGTGCTCTGTGGCATTTCTGGAGGCTCCAGTGCACAAGTGCTCCCATGGGAGCTGGTCTGGGGCTCCATGCACTGTGCTTGAAAGATCTTGTTTTAGATCATTTCCCGCCTGGCAAAACTGCCTGGCCTGGGCTTAAGTCCATGTGTGACTCAGTGCCCAGCTGTCTCATCAGACACGGTGGTGATGTCCCCATCACCCTGCAGGAAGCATCCAGATGCTCCAGCACTAAAGGGAAACTGGATTAATAACTCCCCCCGGGAAGGGGCAGCACACGGAGCCTGTGGTCACAAGGTGCTCAGGGAAAAGCAGCCGGCATGGGGTCAGCACGGAGGGAGCCATCCCAGGGAGCCGGTGCCCTGAATTCCACCAGGTGGGTTAGGTCAGGCACATTCCTGTGAAAGGCCCACCCTTCTCCTGAGTGGGGGAGGAAAGCAGGCAAACAGTCTAAAAATGGAGGAACCTGCTGTCCTCCAGGAGTTGGGCAAGAGAGGATTTTTCCCCTCACCTGGCTGCCCTTGCTCAGCAGCATTCTTAAGGATCTCTGCTATTCCCCTTCCCTGCTCCCAGGCCTGCTGGGGGACAGGGACAAAGCGCCCTTTGTTCACCCTGAGTAAAACAACTCTGGAAATTAATTGGAAGAAGCTGCACGAGAGAAGGAGAGTGCTGAGGAGTGCTGAGAAGTGCTGCCTCGGCTTCAGCAAAACACAGCACCTGAAGTGGCTACAACAGGTAGTGACAGACAACCAAGGCCTTCTCTAACGTTTGTCAACAATTGAAGTTACACTGATAAAATAATTCCAGTCTCTCCCAAAATGTAAATGTTTTAAAATACTCGTTACAATTCAACAGTACAGTCTCTTTGGTAAGAATTTATTTATATTGTTACCCCAATTGTTACTCTCCTTAGAGAGCCTGAATTGTTCCTTAATCCATTAATTCTCCAGGATTTTTCCTCACTTCTCCTAAGAAATCATAAGCCAGCTCTGAGATGTCAAAGGCTTTGTGGGTGGTTTCTGAGGACAGCAGGTACTGCAGAGCGCCGTCATTCTCCCGGCTCTTCCTCAAGAAGTCATGGATCACCTTCCAGCGGGACATTTCTGCCTCCTCCTCAGCCCACTTGTAGCTGGGGAGGAACGTGGACTGCAGGAGAGGGAAGACAGAGTCGTGGTACACCAGGACAAACACAGACTTCAGGAATTCTTGATCTCTCTGCAGAGAAGAAAATACTTCAGTGCCAACTCGTGGTGCTGCCAAGCCCTTCTCCGAAGTATTGTGCACAGGGACCAACCAACCAAGTCACCCCCAGCTCCCAGGATAACAACGGGAATTTGACCTTCCTAAACAAACATCCGTTATCTCGGGTAAGCCTGAAGAATATAAACCACAGATCAACAAATCTGCTCTCCGAGCCCTGCCAGTGCTCCCACAAACCACGGGCACTGAGATTTCCTTGTGGAGTATTTATATTTCTTCCTAAAACTAGTGCCACGTGCTCCCTGCCCTGGAAACCCAAACTCTGCTCTCTTTCCCGAGGCAGAGAGTCGCTCTGATCCCGCATTCCTCGGAGCAGGAGGTGAGGCTGCCCCTGGCTGCTCCAGGGTGAGAATTATGTGCTCCCCTGTGAAGGCCAGTTCAGAAAACTTAAGGATCAGCCAGGTCAATTATCAAACGCATGGGAAGGATCACGACCGCTGCCTGCGGGAAACTCCTCCGGCACGGAGCATTCCAGACCCGCGAGGGCCGTGCCCGGCATGGAGCACTTCACGGCTCAGCGGGAGATGTGGCAGCTCAGAGTCACAGAGCCACGAGGGCTGAGCGCTCAGCAGTCCTGCCCTGGGAGTGGCACATGCCAGTCAGGTAAAACTGGATGGTTCTGGGATCCCGGGGAGTCACCAATTCGGTGAGCAGCTCACCTTTCCTTTTGGATGAATGGCCCTGAAAAAGCCGTTCTGACTCAAGGGCGTTTGGTTTGTTTGTGTAAACAGGGAGCAATCCTTGTGCACGGGGAATGAAACATCCCACTGCTGCTCCCAGGAAGTCCTGGATGGAGAGCCAGTGGTTTTCTCATTGAGTTCCCTGCAGCTGCTCTCCGGGCAGAGGAGGTAGGACAGGGTGGGGGCGAGCCTGGTGACAGCCAGGTCAATTCTCCAGCTGCCTGCACACCAAAATGTGGGATTGGAACTGTCTGGGGTGGGGAGATGGGAGGAATTTGGGGGCCTTTTCCCAGGCAGACTGGAGCTCAGAGGTTGGAGCAGATGATTTTGTGGGTGTACACAGCCTCCTTGTATCCAAGGAAGTAACAGGTTCCCCACCAACACCAAGACAAAAAGTTACGTGTGAATTTAATTCTCCTCCTCCTCCTGGTTTACAGTTATAAATCAGAGCAAGAAACGTTAAGAACTCTAGTTAACATGTCTCTATTTTTAAAGTAAATGTACAGTGAGAGGAAAAGCTAAGCAGTAACACTGGCAGGGAGCAGCTAGTTCGGACTACACTGAATATATGGAAAGAAAACCCTGTAGTTTGTTACCTTCTCAGTTCTCTTCAGTGTTCTTTCTCTGTCTGCCCAAGCACTCTAAAATGAAATGTAAAATCAGACCAAGGCTGTGGAGAACTTTATCTTCTCACAGCCCAAAACCACCCTCTCAGTTTTGTCTGGAAATCCTGACAAGGTAACGTACCCGAAGTGCATCCATCAGGTCTGGCTGATCCATGAGCTGAGGGAAAGTTGCTAAAACAGGATTACAGATAAGGTCTGAAACAGAAAGCAGACACATTCAAGGCTAAGTACAGAGCACATCCAGGTACTCAGCACATCCCCTCCCCTCGGGTTATTCCAAAGGGAAAATGAGCTGTAACAGTTCTCCTGAGGGCAGGGAAGGCAGGAGAGCTCCTAACCAACAGAGTTCTCTGACTGTAGGCAGCTCTCAGTGGCTGGGAGACACTTACACCAGGAGAGCAGACACAGAAACCAGCTGCTGGTTTACTGGGAGCACCAGCAAACATATATTCCTTTTAAATATTCCTCTTAAATATTCCTCACCTGCCTGAGGGGTTTTCCCTCATTCCTGCACCTGCCTTTTTTTACACACAGCTGCACCTGTGCTGCTTGGTTGGGATGTTATGGATAAACACACTTGGGTTCTACCTCCCCCTGGCACATCTTGTGGGGCATTTTAAGAGAACCAGGTACCAGGTGGCACAGAGAATTTACCCAATGGGGTAAATCCCACTGCACAGGTATCCTGGTGCTTTTTGGGCTGCCTGCTCTGCTCCTGTCCTTACTTTAATGAATAAGATTGTGGGTAAGATTACAAGTGTCAGGGGCCAGAATTTTGGTTGAAGTCTCTTCTTTCTCTTGTGCTTTCAAATATTTAATGTACACTGTTGTTTCTTCCTCTTGAAGCTGATGGAAAGTTTAGTAAACATGAAGCTTTCACTAAACCAAAACACTTACAGGCCACAGGCCAGAACTGATCCCTCCTGTGAGACAGAGCAGGCATTTTAAACTACCTATTTCCAAAGTGATGGGGGATTTTGTAATAACAGAAATCCTCTTTGGTGACACACCACCAGAACAACTTCTGAAATGCCTTTCAATCATTTCAAATGAAGTCTGGATCCAGAGGGATGCAGTTTAATCCCAGGAGGGCCTGATCTGCTGTGCTGAGTTATGAAGATCAAATCAGGTAAGTGTGGCAGTTCTCACCTGCTCTTTAAAACTAAGCACTTCAGTTTCTTTGTGTAAGTTTATTAATTATAAGGCATTCATTTATTAAAGGGCCTGGCTTTTAGCTACTGAAATCAGTGCAGGCAAGATGTATATTAAAGCTGAAGAAAGTCAGGAAGAGAGTTAAGCACCTCTGAGAGATGAATCTGTGATTCAGGTGTTTAAGTATGATAAAGATTCTAAGTGAAAAATATCAGCAACTGCACAAGGAAATTTATTTGCATAGGAAACAGATGATTCATAATTCAGTCTGGAGAAGGGATGGGAGAAAAGATCAAGAAAATCACTTTCAGTACCAATATAAATTCACCTGTAGTGAATTTAATTAAGTTAAGAAATGTAAATTTTCTATATCTCAAATGGATGTTAAAATGGAGAAGGCTATAAACTATTAT